TGGTGAACAATGGTGAATAATGGTGAACAGTGGAGACTAATGGTGACCAATGGTGACTAACAGTGACTAACAGTGACTAACGGTGAACAGTGGTGAACAGTGGTGACCAATGGTGAACAATGGTGGTGTGAGGGCGTTTTGATGAGGCCACAGGATGAGCAGACGACGGTTTGTGCCACGATCTGCAGAGGTTGACCCGTTTGAATCCCATACACTGAAACTCTGAGCAGAATTCAAAGAGCAGATCTATGATTCAGGCAGCAAACCCTCCTGTTCAACATCCTCCAGCAGGGAGCGGCCTCACAGCTCAACCTCCTCTGAAATGAGCTCACGGCAGAGACAGAGACAAAAGCCAGCATTCAGTTCTCTGCTGGTCTGGAGGATCATGAGACCGAGCAGCAGACTGCAGGATGTTCAAACACATCACTTCCTTCGAGCTGATCTCAGCAACACTTGAACCCATGACACCCTCCCTGTGCAAGGTGTCAATGGTCGTCTTTTGGACAACTGTCAAGTCAGCCCAACAATTTTCAGTCAGGTCATCTTGACAGTTTTTTTTTTGTCAAGTCAGCAGTCTTCTCCATGATTGTGTAGCCTCCAGAACTAGACTGAGATCATTTAAAGGCCTTTGCAGATGTTTTCAGTTAATTAGCTGATTAGAGTGTGGCACCAGGTGTCTTCAATATTGAACCTTTTCACAATATTTTAATTTTCTGAGATACTGAAATTGGTGTTTTCATTAGTTGTCAGTTATAATCATCAACATTAAAAGAAATAAACATTTGAAATATATCAGTCTGTGAGTAATGAATGAATATAATAAGTTTTACTTTTTGAATGGAATTACTTAAATAAATCAACTTTTTCATGATAATAATTTTCTCTAATTATCTAATAATCTAATTTTATGACCAGCACCTGTAAGGTAAAGAGTACTGGTCCAAGCACTGGACCCTGAGGAACTCCAAGATGAACTTTGGTGTATGATGAAGATTAGTTATTTACATTTACAAATTAGAATCTATCAGATCGATATGACTTAAACCAATTTAGAGCCGTTCCTGTAATTCAATTCAATACAATTTATTTATTTATCTCCAAGTCACATCAGAATCATGTCAGGGACTGAACAGAAACATTCATGTATAAAATAATAATGTAACATTATTTATCTGAGGAGCAGCTTTGAGTTTAACTCCATCACTGAACTCTCATGTTGAAAAGCATGAAGGCGACAGTGGAAAGAAAAACTCCCTCATGAGGAAGAAACCTTTAGCAGAACCAGGATCAGGACAAGAGGACCATCTGCTTCAACCGGCTGGGTTTGGTAGGAACAGATACACAATGGCAGGTCAAGAATCACATGTTAAGATAGAAATGCTTGACAGTGCTCGGACTGAATGTGGAGCTGTGACAGGGAGTTGGAGCAGCTGTTATCAGGACTGTGATCTTCCTGGCAGCACTCATGAATGGTGGAATAATCTGGAGAAGCTGTGAGCTCGACTTTGGAGTGAAGGATCAATTCGGCTGTTTTGGAGTTTCCATCAGAGAATATGTACCAGCAAGACTTTAAAGGCAGA